GGACTTGTGAGCAAGAAAACGGATTTGAAGCATGGAGATTGCTGCACGAGAGATTTGGATTCCTGCTAGAGACAAAGGTATGGAAACATTGAGCCAAATTTTCATTCATGATTTTCGTAGAGAAGATTTCGGGGATTTAATTGTGCTGAAGAAGAGATATGAAGAGACTGGTGGAAGTGCATTGAGAGAAGATGTTCTTGTCGCATTGCTTATAAGCAAGACTGAGGAAGCATTGTCAGGTTTCCTCCGATTGCATCAAGATGCATTGGGAACACTCGATCAGGTCGTTGACTTAGTCAAGCGATATTGCAGACTCTGTCGTTCTACATCAGGACGATTGAGTCGGCCACCACCTCAGCATCAGTTGTTTGAGTTGATTGAGATCGAGCGCGAAAGGAGAGAGAAAGGAAGAGAAGAAAGCATTGACGCAAGGACGAGGAAATGAAGGAAAGGAATGAGGAGATTGACAAAGGAAAAGAGAAGAGTGAGGAAGCAAGTTGAGTGGCAAAGCATTGAGGAAGATTGGAACAGAAAAGGAACGGGAGATTCAGAGGATTGCTATGGTCGAGGAAATGAACAGAAAGAGGATTGTCTGATTGAGGAGGATTCAACGGACTGTACAAGCGAGGATGCCCGGTATTGTCATGGAATGGAAGTAGATGAAAAGGAATTGCAAGAGAGTTGCTTGTTCGCAGATCAGGCATTGGAGGATAGCATGCTGAATTGCGATGACGTGATCTTTTCGGATTGTGTTTACGTTGGACTGGATCCCACGAGCATTCAACATCCGATTGAGGACGCTGATGTCACACATTGCTTGGGGACTTGGCTTTTTCTCCATTGTGATTCGGATTCCGTTGACCTGTCAGGTTCTTTGGATTCCGATTGCATGGTAGATTCTGTTCGATGTGATGATTGTGTTGCGTCGGACATTGCCACGGACAAAGCAGGTACTGCATCGGAATCTGAAATTGGTGATCAGGTTTCATCATTGCCAGTCGTTACCGACTAAGCGAGGTAATTGGATTCCGGCCGGAGTACATTTTAGATAGGATTAGTTTCACGGAGAGATCGTCACACGTGTGCGGTGGATCTGTCATGTGCATTCGGCAATTGAGAATTTGTTTTGTCGTTTCGGTTATTCTGCTTGTCGCTTTGACCTTCAGGATTGGTTGTTCACCTGTTGGCATTGCGTTTAGCAGACACACGAGTGCTCCGGTTGCTTGTAGAGCACTACTGCATGAGGATTGGTTTCACGAATCGGATGGGTTCGTCGTTGACTCTGGAATTGCTGAGAAGGATTGTTACATGAACGGTTTCGATTCTTGCAACCACTGTGATTCTTCTTGTAGTACTGATACTTTTGTTTTGATTGAACATCAATTTCTTGAGCGTGATTGGACTAGAGTCTTGCGTGACAAGGATCCATTGCTTTCTGAGATTCAGGACGAGCGCTCTCTGCATATTGTGTGTGTGATCGTTTTAACATATTGACTCATGAGCAATTGGCGTATTGCATTGGTCATTCGAGAGACATTTCCGTTACTCATTGCGGCGCATCCTCATGTCACATTGCTTCAGAGGAGACATTGTCCGTGTTCGCCGCTGACCGTGTTTTCGGCATTGTGACTGTGGAGAACTGTGATTGTCTCGTCATGGAGATTCCGACTGCCGACAAGGCTGTCCAGATTGAGGATTCCTGTGTTCAGGGATTTCTTCGGACATGGATTGCCTACTCTTCTGTGGACACATAGTGCCCAGTATTCACAAGGTATTGTCAACTCTTCATTTGTCACCGACCATTGTCTAAGCCATTGTTGCAATTTCGATTGATTCGATCTGCTAGAGTGCTAGAGCTGGCTAGATTGTCATTCCATTCTGAACACATTGGTGGACTCCTTTTGCATTTTCACATTCACCACCATTGCTCGATCCCGGGTTTTCATCAGCGTTGTCTTTCATTGTCAACGTCACTGGTTATGCATTGTCTGGATTTGAAAATTGTCAGTGTCTTGCTGGATTGTGACACTCATTCCACGACTCAACCATTGAACGATCCTGTACCATCTCAGCAGGCAATGCCAGGCTACAAAACGACACCCTGCTGAGATAAAATGGTACACGGTGCTACCATTGTGCACACGCGTTGCAATCTCACGAAGCAACCATTCCAACACTCCGCACCTGTCCAGGCGGTGCCGCAAAAAGGACTGCGCCCGGAAAAATTGGTGCGCGCGCAAGTGTCCCGTGACATTGTGCATGTGGCATGTGCGTCGCCATCTCCAGCCGAGGGACCGAGGAAGTAAGGATTGGATTGACATTCAAGACATTCACGAAAACCATTTGATTGACGTTCATGACATTCGTTTTTTCGTTCATGTCATTGTCCGTTTGCGGCTGTTCGATGCCGATCGCGCTATTCACATTGTGTGTATGCACCACTGCGTGACGGCTGTCACAGTGTTCAAGAACTACGAAAGAGTCATTGCGTTGACTGTGCTGATTGTGAGAACAAACTGCGAGTCGAGACACGCGTTGGGGATTTTGAGATTGTTTCCATCGATTGCATGCGGTGCATCGATTGGGAGCTTGTCATGATTCTGTTGGAAGACTTAGAGACTCATTGTCGACATTGTTGCCAGTATGATTCTGCGAGACTTGATGATGCCTCATTGTCTGCTCGCATTTTCCGTACTTACGGTATAGAGTTTGACATTGTCTCTAAGGACCGTGTCTTGAAGATTGACGTGCTGAAGTTTATTGCTCGTGACATTGTAGATAGTAGACGCATCTGCGAGGTTTGCATTCTGCATTGCAAAGTGCGTGTTTCTCATTGCGTTGTCAGATGGATTGTGAGTTCAGAAGTCAGGACGATGTTTCGTTCTTTGAACACTTGCAGAAGATAGAGCTTTATTGTTCAAAGAAAAACAACATGACAAAATGACTTAGAGAACTAAGTCCAATTTTGATTTGTTGTTTTAGGGCTTTCCTTTTTACACTGCCCATTTTATTGAGCTTCCGTTTTATGCATGCTGTTAGCTCAGTTGAAGAATACATTCGCTCATTGCAGCAAGACCTCTCAAGGGGGCAGGAAGCCCGGAATCGAGTGATAGTTTTATTCGAAATAGGGGGCGGGCCGGGTGCCTGTGCCTTACTTTTCGCTCACAGGGAGGTCTTGTGTCTGAACCTGCGTGCCTTGACTGACAGCCAGACGATGAGATTGCCCAGCATGCCACGGTCGAATGCCGTGATGTGGTTCGTTAGCACCTCAGTGTTGCCTCGGATTTGCAGTGGTGGTGATGTCCTTGTACAATCAGCTGGCTTCTTTTCAGGCCATTCGCTTAGGTTGCAAGGCTGAGGGCGGAGACTCTCATGTGGCGGACTCGCTACGGTTAGCATGTGCTTATAAAAGAGTTCTTCGCGATACTGTTTGCTGGCTAGTGTCAGGGAGGTTACCTGATGGCGGGCTGCTCAGTTCGGCTCGAGATTTGATGTGTGCCAGCCTTGTTGCTTGATGGCTGACCCGGAGATAACGGGCCACCTCAATGACGAGGAGGCTTCGCTGGCCAGCACCAGTACTATGAGTTTGGTGTCCAGGGATGTGTGTTCCTTGAAGCTGCAAGTGATGCGAATTTCGCTGTGATTGAACTTGATTGTCGACCGATTTTGTGATCAACTCAGCTTTCTTGAGAGCCGTGTACTGCTGGAGCAGTGCTTCGTTCGCTGGGGGTGCAGTCGCTGGTATCAGGATTAGGCTGAGCCCTCAGCTTGTATGCTGATGAGTTTTGTTCGGATGTTGCTCCGGCGATCAGGCCACTGTGAGATGCAGGGTAGGTGCTTTCTATACTTCGCATCGTGATTGTGGTGCGGCATGTGCCGCGAACTCAGCTGGAGAGTGTCAGTCTCGATATGCCACGTTTTGCGGATCAGCTAGTCTAGTTTGCTGGCGGACCGGACTTTTACTCAGGATGTTGCACTTGCATGTAGCCGTGTAGCCGTTTGCTTCTCAGGCCCTGGTTTGTAATGGCGGATGCCGTAGGGACGGATGAGGCAGATGACCGTTCTTGGTCGTCGTGGAGCTCAGCCTTTGAGCCGCGGCGCCCGGAGCCTCCCCTTCAATCTGTGAAGAAGCTTAAAAAGAAGAAGACGAGGAAGGCCAGGAAGGCCTCCCGAAAGCGTAACAAGGCTCGGCGGGCGAGTCCCGCGTCGGATTCAGACAGCTCGGCCATTGAAGCCAGGACGGATGCTTTGCAGGAGTCCCCCTGGTGGTGCTACTGATACTGAGGACTTGCTTGACATTGACTCGCAGTCTGCAGGAACCTATACGGTGGAGGCTCACACGGAGGCGGTTATGCACCATGCTAGGCGGGCTCGTGGCAACCTTAAGGCTGCCGCCAAAATGCTGGTGCGGGCCCAACTTAGATGCAGCTGTCATTTTGCCTTTATTCATGAATGTGCAGCTCGAGCAGAGCGGCGACCGCCTGGTTGAGGGTGCATTTTCTGAGTTTGCTCGGCCTGCGCGCCGATATTGTCGTGACCTTCGGGCTTAGGCATTTCTGCCAGCCGACTCGTGTCGCACTGCTGTCGGCTATGAAAGTGCTTTTTCGCCCTAGCGTCGAGTCAGCTGTGTATCGACATCTTTGTGTGTTGTGACGCTTAGGTCAGAACGTCTGAGTGCAGAGACGGCGACTGGAAGTTCGAGAGAAAATACGCGCAAGAGCGCTTTCGATGTGAGTGAGTACGCCAGAGGTCGCGTGCGTGCAGAGGCACCTTAATACGTGATGTCCGTATGCCATTTACTTTTGGCCCCCAAAAAAAAACAGAGCAAGAGTAGCAAGCAAGGCAGGAGCCTGGAGCTGCGTGTTCAATAAGGCGCCGGAGCGCTTGACAGAGTTTCGCGAGGGCTGGAGCCCGGTTACAGCTACGTGCTGAGTTTGAGACGCTGGGGATGTTTCCTTGGCCGATGGGACCGATGGGGCCGATGATGCCCTCATTCGGTAATGAGCGGCGTCGGCGCCGTCGGCGCTCCCCTTCTAGCAGCTCTGAGCGCTCGAGGAGCAGAAATCGTGATCGCAGACGCGATCGGGAATCCAGGTCATAAGCGCGAGCCGCTTCGCCTTTTCCCCCACCAATGCCTCAGCTGCCGGCAGCAGCGCCGGGATATGAATGGAGGCAAGTGCCAGTGGTGCCGGTGCCGGTGCAGCCACCTTTACCGCCTCCTTCGACGCCTGCCCCGATTTCTCCGGCAGTGCATGTACCTCAGCAGCAGGCTGCCTGGAGTCGCCAGCCCTGGCGAGGAGGAGGCCAGCAGAAGCAGGGCCAATGGAATAGGCGCTGGAACCAGTGGCATCGGTCCAGCCAGGGGTCGGGTGAGGCTCCACGGTCGGGCTCTCTGAAGTGGCTGCGGCCGATGCTCGACGCGCTGCCAAAGAGGTTGATCAGGACGAGGCGGACGACGAAGCGTCGTACCTCGCAGCCCTGTGGAAGTCAGCGCAGGATGAGGCGCGGGCGGACCCAACTAGGCCATTGTCGGCCCGGGAACTGGCAGAGCAGGGAAAGCTGCAATGGTGGTGGAAGATGCCATGGAAGGCCGTGGTCGAAAAGTTCCCTGACACGGATGCCTATAAGGAGTTTTTGGAAGGCCTTGAGGGTCCGATACCGGCCTCTGTGATCTCGCGACTGGCAACGGTCCTTGCTGCCTTTCGATCTTACGGCCGCCCCCTCGAGGGGGACAATCCTGTGGCAGGAGTCGTTGGCCCAGATGCTCACGTCTTTCGGGTCCCTGGGCAACGAATCTTGATTTTGAGCTGCGAGCTGAGGGGGCCGAGTTACGTTCGGAATCCCAATTCTGAGCATGCTGCGGTGATGTGCCACGGGACTTCCTTCCCGTCGTTGATTGGGGTTGCTGAGATCGGCGAAATTGCCGTCAATGATTACAGGGAGCAGGGCATGCCTTGCTTTGGATTCTCGGCACGCGGTGCGTTGGTCGGCATGTCCCGGGATGCGATGGAGAGCGCGGCGACCAAGTGCGCTAGCCGCACGAAGGCGCTCGGGGGCGCGATGATCATCGTGGAGTGCGAATTGCCACGGAGCACCCCTTCTGTGGAAGGGGGTAATGACATGATGCAGAGCTCTTGCCGGCTTGCCGGGACGCTGGATCGGTCAGGTCGGGGGATCACTTCTTGATCTCCCCGAAACACGCGATCGCAGTAGGGTGGCCGTGTTGAGTGGCCCTACACCTGGCGATGTGAGCATGCCTATTATTGTACGGTAATGTCAGTGTTGCCTTAGCTCGCCCAGTGGATTCCTACAGCTCATTCGTATGGTCCTGTTGGCATGGCTCACATCGGTGGTGGTAGACACTACCTTTATGAACCACGAGGAAGTGGCAGACCGTCGGGATTCGCGACATGGAAAATTAAACCGTCTCTCCCTCCTTGTAGGGGCACGGCCCGAGATGTTCAGTTTGTGAAGCTCGCTGTATACTTCGAGGGGAGATTTGCAGTGAATGCAGCATTCTTGTTGGCAATATGTTATTCATATACCGATCGGTTCAAGTTTTGACCATTTTGGTGGGGCTTAGCTTTGTGAGAGTTTTGCGATGCCTAGCCACGACCCCAGAGCGAGTGAGAATGAAGTGTTCATGCGGAGCATCACTCATGCTCGGTCGTCGCTGCCGCGGCAGCCTTGGGAACAGCCAGCTATGATGTGTATATTTGATCCATTGAAGGCGGCTTTTCCTCAGGGATTGAACCTACCTTATCAGGGCTTGCCTCGTGGGTCGCCTGTCCCTCAGACGGCAGCACAGCCTTCAGATTCCGGAACGTCTGTGACGAGTGGTCCTCATTGTCAGGCATGGACTCGTGCAGTCAAGGCGAAACGAGGGCCTAGGGCCGCGGATCGTCGCGAAGAGGCGTACCGCCGGGTCCTCACATTGCTCCATGCCTTCTCGAGTTTCTTTGACTTGTGCACCTTGATGGCTTACCTTTAAAGCCCCCTTCAAAGCCCCTTAAAGCCCCCCTTTAAAGCCCCCTTCAAAGCCCCTTAAAGCCCCCCTTCAAAGCCCTTGAAGCCCCCCTTCAAAGCCCCCCTTAAAGCCCCCTTAAGCCCCCCTTTCAAGCCCCTTTGTCAAAGCCCCCCTTTGCTCACCCCCTTAAAGCCCCTTTAAAGCCCCCCTTAAAGCCCCCCCTTAAGCCCCCCTTTGTCAAAGGGGGAGGGGTGATTCCGTAAACCTCTAAAGGGGTAGCTCTAACAGGTACCTACAGCAATGGCTGCATGCTCATACATATACATTCCGCTGCCCATTGGCTCACAGTGGTTTTACCATATTGAGACAAGACAAGCTCTCCTTGCGTAGCAAGACAAAACAACTACTGTCCGTGTGCAGGGCGCTGCCCTTTGATCCTTAGGGAATAACTGGTCATACACCTCCTCACAAGGAGTATCCCTTGGGGGTGTATCGGCACAGTTTTCTGGTAGCGGAGCCCGGAAAGGGCCGCCCGCCTCCTAAAGTCCGCTACAGCGGTCGGCCTCGCCGAACGCTTAACCAAGCGGATAAGAGGCAGCACAATGTCGAGCTCGCATAGCGAAGCCGACGGCAGTTCCCAATCCTCCGGGGGATATGAGAACGAAGAGACCTCCCAAGGTCCAGCCACTTATGTCGCACAGTCATATGCAACATCTGACCGCATGCTTGCATCATTAGGCATAACGCCCAAGATCGCGCCTGCCTATGATGGCACCACCTCGTGGTTTGAGTATGAACAGTTGATTGACGACTGGTGCGACATAACAACGCTGGATGACACCAAAAGAGGTCCGTCTCTCAAGACGGGCTCTCCGGATTGGCCGCAGTACAAAAGGAATCACTGAACCGAGAAAGGCTTGCAGCCCCAGATGGAGTAGATTACTTCAAGAAGAAGATGCGTCCATTTTTCGTGAAAGGAGAACAGTACGTTTTCCTGTGGCGTTTCCTCGGCCTATTCAAGGCATGGAAGGGCAACCAAGACTTTGTGACTTGGATTGCCAAGTTTGAGATCGTGCTACAGCGCGTGAAAAACTCATGGATGGATCTCTTACCAGAGATAGCTCTGGAGGATGCCCATCCAGATTTCATGCAGGCTGTGCAGGCAGATCAAACCTTCTTGCGCCTACAGGATGCAACCGAGAGAGACACATACGCCGCACGTTTCTTCGAAACATGGAACAAGGAACGCCTTGATAATCATCGAAGAGCGTTTCCTCTAAATGATAATCTCCTAGCTCTCCTCTTCCTAGTGCAGTCCGACCTAAATGAGATGCAACGTGAGAGGTTGGTAACAGCATTGACCAACCAAGGTCACCGAATTGAGACCTACACGTACCCTGTGGTACGGCAGACCATGTTCGATCAGTTCTCAACGACCAGAACTGGTCTGCAGGATCCCAACATTCGGCACTCTTCTCACAAGAAGGACCGCCATGGAAGGAGAGACCAACGCCGCAAACGCGGAGGTCGAAACTTCCTCATCCTCGATCAGGGTGAATACGATGGAGTCGATGGATTCTGGCTCCAAGACGAAGACACCCTTGAGGAAGGCTTTCTTGCCGCCGAGGATGAAGAAGCTGTCTTCTGGACAGTTGATGACCATGAGGCCTTCGTTGCAAGGAGATTCAAAAAGGGAAGAAGACCAAGAATGCGTCCCGGATCACCGGGAAGAGCAAAGGGTGGCAAGCGAAAAGGACGTGGCCGTTTTAGGTCATACCGCGGAAAAGGGAGAGCCAACCAGGCAGAACATGATCCAACTGATTCCAGCTATTTCGGTAAAGGTAAAGGAAAGGAAAAAGGGAAAGGTGGAAAAGGCAAAGGAAAAGGAAAGGACAAGGGAGATAAAGGAAGCTCCTTCAAAGGTACAAAGGCAAAAGGCAAAGGTAAGGATACAGCTAAGTCTGCCTCCTTACAAGGAGACCAAACTGGATCTCCACAGGCCTATGAAAGTTCCACCGCACCGAGCTGGGATTCATGGTATGAGGACAGTTATTATCCTGACTCCAGTTGGAATTATGCCGCTTATGACGATCAAACGTCTTATACATACTATGCATCACAAGCCTCACGAAGAAAGACACGGAGAAAGAAGAGAAGAAATCAAGCAGGATCATCAGGTAGAGGCACAGATCCGAGCGCGCACCAAGAACCCGTGTTCAACTCATCAGTGAGTTACGTGCCCCAGGTCTTTGAACCATCCGAGGGGCAAGGTGTTGAAACTGCAACAGCGTTGTTTCCGTTGCAGCACACCGTCCTATCTGCTCTCACAGAGCGGATCAATCTTGATAAGAACCCTACCTTTGTCATACTTGACTCAGGTTGTACTAGGGCTATGGGTTCTCGCTATGCGGTGAACAGGCTTATCAAGGCCGTGAAGCAACGTGCCCCAGGCATGATTGATTTCACTTTCTCACCTTCGAACACGAAGTTCTCTTTCGCAGATAGTGAAACAGCTCTTATCAAGGAGCGTGTAACTCTATGGTTCAACACAACTCCAAGAAGAGATACAACCATAGAAGTTCTGGATCAGGGGAGAGTTCCCATTTTTTTCTCCATCGAACAGATGAGGAATCTAAGAATGACCCTCGAGTGTAGTCCCACAGCTGACCTAGCAACGTGTGAAGCTTTCGGTTTGTATAAAACCCCTCTTCCGATTAGTACCAATAATCATTTGGTATTGGACCTTCTAGGCTTCACTTCCACTAGGAAGTATCTCCCTAAATCAGGTACGTCGTTCAGTGCGACAGAGACTGCTCTAGGAGCTAGGAAACCAAAGGAAGAAGGAAGATCTTATACTAGGATCCCGGAAGGTCGCTGTCCAGCCTGCGCAGGACAGAAAAGGGCTCATACGTACCTCAAAAGTTGCGACAAGGCACCTGAGGGAGCAGCTGATCCACCACCGAAGGGCATTCCAGGTAAGAAGAAGCCTCTTCCATCTGATCCGGCAGAATCATCTGCCAAGAAACCCGATCCACCAGAACTATCTGGTGATGCTCCTGAGCCTTCCGAACCATCGGAACCATCATCAGGCTCTAGAGACAAACCTGCAGAATCATCTGCACCGCACGAACCTCCAGAAGAAGAAAGACTTGAGGTTCCACCTGCGAAGCCAAAGACTCCAAAGGGTCTTAAAAACCTTCTGAAGAAAACCCGCAAATATGCGGTCAAACCTCCTGTTGAGGAGAAGTCTATGGTCCCAGGAGCTGATGACGGGACGGAGGTAAGACCACTTGAGTCAAGAGAATACCCGGCTCCTGGTACAGACTCACCTACATGTGAAGAGATTGTCGCGGAACCATCGCCATCTCTTCCCATTGCTCTTCGCAGGATTCATGAGAAGCTTAAGGACCCTGTAGAACTCTATAAGCTTCACCTTAAGCACCGCCATATGAGTACGGATCAGTTCAAGCGACGCACGAAAGCCTTACAGATCCCAAAGGAGATATATCAGCTATATGACCAACTGGTCAAAAAGTGTTCAGCCTGTCAGGAACACGTGAGAGCTCCTTCAAGAGCGAAGATTTCCGGTTTAAGATCAGAGACTTTCGGTGATCTCACCTTCGTAGATCCCGGTGAGCTTCCAATTCCCGGCAAGGATAGTCGCTTAATATTTCTTATTCTCTATGACGGAGCAACAAACCTGTTGACTTCCGAAGTAGTCCAGGATAAAGAAGAGCATACTACAATGTCGATTATGAATGACTACTTTGAGAAATTTCAGATCAACCCAAAGGTTGTATTTGGAGATCAAGCATTCATGACTCCAAAAATGGAGGCTTATTACAATCGGCAGAATATCAAGCCTGTAGCAACAGGACCTGGAACACCATGGCCCAACAGGGCCGAAGCTGCTGTAAGATTGCTGAAGCATCAGATTAAAATCATACTTCAGATCCTGAAGGATGGTGACCCGCAGTATAACGGAATCACCATGAAGTATGGCAACCTCGTTCGACAAGCATGTTTGGCAAGAAACTCTTCGATTACCTACGGAGGAGTTACTCCTTTGGAAATGGCCTTTGGTAGGCGTCCTCGAGATGTTATAACACCAGAGAACGCTGATCCCAATCAGTTGACAGGTAATCCAACTGATACGGAAGTCACTGCGAGAGCCACTAAGGAGCTTGCCAACAGGGCTTACCAAGAGGCACGCCAATCT